TACCTCCGTTGCGAGAATAATATCTCAAATTACCTTACCGTCCGCGTCAAATCTCCCCGAATTAGTTTTTTGCAAAAAATAAAGCTGTTTGATCAAGTTTAAAGCATCATGGGCCGCTGTTGGGCTGGATTCAGGTCCTGGACTGCAGAAAATGTTGCTGGGTCGCACAATGGGGCGCTGGGCCGCGGCTAACGACATTGGGCCGCAAAAAAACGTTGTTGGGCCAGGTAGAAGCTTGGAAGATGGGCTGCAGACGCGGGCCTAGAAGCGGGCTGGCGCTGGGCTTAATTGCGGGCCGGACGCGGGCTAGAGGAGGGCTCGCGGGCCGCGCGCTGTGAGAAGAGAGCGGGCCGCGCGGGCTGGGCGCGGCCCGCGTGCTGCAGTTGTTGGATCTCCATGCTGGGCCTCCTCCGTCGGGCCAAGGTCAACAGTTCCTGGGCCGCTCGCAAATGGACCGTGCTAGTTATCTCCTGGGCCGCTCTCACATGGGCTTCGCTGGAGAGATGGCGGACTCGGGCTGGGCTACGCGCACCATCCTTGGGGAGCTGAGGTGCAGTATTACAACAATATTGCAGCAGTTCGTCGGACACCCTTCACCGGAGAAAATAAATCGCCGGCTCCGGCTAATATCACCGACCGAGAAGGCGCCTCAGTGAGGGAAACCCGAGGGTGCCAACGAATTAAGGTGGCTCGCCGGAAATCGACGGGAAAATTGAGAAGATGACCGGATTTGACCAATTTGTTCTTAGATCTACGAACTTTGACCGTCAAATTGACGTCCTTCCCGGAGTAATTTTTGCTTGAAATTTTAGGGGTAGAACGAGTACGAGGAGAGCTTCGCGATGGTGTAAAAATCTTTTAGATCGGACGAATTTGACCGGCGGCCGGCGGCGGAGGCGGCGGCGGACGGCGGCGGGAGTGGCGGTTTCCGGCGAAGATCGGTAGCTGGAGATTCGTCTCGTTGAGAGGATTCCAGTGGTACCCTCGGATTATCCATAGCCCTCACGGATCGTCGGAAAAATGCATTTGAACGTCCGATTTTGACCGATTTCTTCCTAGATCTGGAAACTTTGACCGCAAAATTGACGGTCTTCCCGAAAAAACTTTTTCTCCGAATTTTAAGGATAGATTCGTCTCGAAGAGATCTTTCCAATGATGTAAATGATTTTCAGATCGGAGCACGTTTTCCGGCGGCCGGCGGCGGAGGTGGCGGCCGGCGGTGGCGGCGGCCGGTGGAGAAGAAGGAGGTTTTTCAATTTTTTCAGTCGGAACTCCGCTTGACTTTTTGACGGGTCC